CCCCAAAACCCCAAAACCCCAAAACCCCTTAGAGTCATTAGGCATGAAATACGAATACAATAAATTTAACTAATTTTATAGAATTTTATAAAACATGATAAAAGATTTTAATAAGATTTAAAGAGAGATCATAGCTATTCTTCTTCTTCAACACCTCTGTCATCTTTATTATTAATCGAACTATTTTGCTGTTAGTGGTCTTCCTCTACGAATTAATTATGACTTTATTGATTAGTTCCATATTTAATAGCTTCAAGTTCTACAATAATTTTTAATACACAAATTTAAACTTACTGTTAGGCTTTAGTTATTTCTTCATTTTATTTGGCTTTTGCCCTTGTATTTCAATTCTCGCTTAGTTAAGTTTGTTATCAAGACCTTATTTCGTATCCTCTGGTTCAATGCCTAGGAATTTCATCAATGCTTCGATGGTTTTTGCAGTTACAATCATCACATTTAAGTCTTTTCTAATCTTTTTATGCTCAATTTTAGTTGAACCAAGATGATCTTTGATAGCTTCCTGCTCTTCTAACTCCTTTAAAGCTTTCAAGGCCTTTGTTTTTCTGACCACAGCACTTCCTCCAATATCTTTAGTTCTACTTTTCTATGTTTGATAGTTGCCATCCTCAATATCTTCACCTTCCCTAAGATCCTCCATTTCATCTTAAGTACCACCAGATACAATCTTCTTCTTTGTTATGATTTTTTTAGGTCCTTCTTTTTCTTTGCCAATGATTCTCTTTTTAAGACTAATACCTTATGCTTCTCTCTATTTCATCCATTTCTCAAAAAATGCATCCTCATTCTCCTTTATTGTTTGATTTATTTCATAAGTAACCTCCAATTTATTAATTTTTGAGGGAGATTTTTATGTTTTTTATAGCTAATTCTTGAATTCCTCTTTCATTTCTTCCAAAGCTTGTGATTCCATCTTGCTTTTCTCACCCTATAATTTTCTTTGTTTATCTTTCTTTTTTCTTTCTTCTAATCTCTTTTTCGTTTCAACATCTAGTTTTTGTAAGAATAAATCTTCTTTTTAGCCTCCAAGCTCATCCTAAGCCATGATAGCTATTCTTATTAAAGCTTTTTTGAAGTAATCATAATCTAAGACCTAAGCACTTATCTTATCATTCAGATATGTTTATGTGCCCTATTCACTTTAAACTTAATCTATTCTTTCTCTTATAAGCTCTCTATAAATCTAGACTGAATCTTCAGGAGGTAGAAGCGTGGGGACTATGTGTTATTAATATGTAAATCTAATGAACTCTCTAAAATTGCAACTATTCATCGATTTTTCTAGATTAAATTCTAAATCTTTTTTATCCTAGGAGGCATAAAACTTAAACATGTGCCTAAGAGCCTTGTCATATAAACCAAACACATTCTCAACATCTTATTACTTTAAAAATTCATTGATCTGCTAACGCTCTTATTGTTCCTTTTATCTATCCATTTGGTTTTCCTTGATGAAGTTCTCCATATTAGCTCTAATTCTTTGTTAATATTCCTTCTCCTTCTAAGTAAGTTCCTATTGCTTAGCAGATACTTCTTCTCTGATTTTTTTAGCCTAACTGAATTCTTCCTCTAGCTTTTACTTCTGCTTCTTCATGAATTCAACTCTTTCTCGTTTTTTCTTATCCTCAAGTTCCTTATTCTTTTCATCGTCTTCTTGTCTCTTTTTCTATACTTCCTCTAATTTAACAGTTTTAGTATCTTCGATTTACTTCTTTTTGTTATCAAGTCTTCTCTTAATGTCATCTTACTATTTTTTCTGATTCTCTTTCTCTTGTCTGTCTCTATCCTCTTTTTGTCTTTTTTATTCATCATAATCCATCGCTTTCTAATCTTTTATCCTTTGTAATTCTGATTTGACCTAGTTATCTCTCTTTTTTCTAAATTCTTCTTTTTGGATAATTATATCAGATTATTTATTCTTTTCTTCTTCTTTCTTTTGTTTAACCTCATTCCAAACTTGCCCAGGAGCTCTGTTAGGTCTTGCTGGTAAGAAATCTAAGCCTTTCTCTGTTGCTTGAAGAATTTCCTCTAATACCTCCGCTACCTCTTGCACATGAGGTCTTTCTCTAAGTGGATATTAAGCAACTTCAAGCTTTAACTCAATATTGATAGATGGTTTGATTTCAGAATTGACTTTAGCTTTCTCTAAAGCTGTAAGTGATTTGTATGGATTTAGAGTATCTTCAGCTCTAGTTTTCTTTTCTACTTTCTTCATATAACTTAGAGCCTCAGCTACTGGTTAAGCTAGATTTTTTACACTTGGTCTTACCTTTAATCTTTCTTCAAAGGAAACTAATGGCTCAAGCATGTGAAATCCAAATAGAATATTTATCAAATCATCCATAATTTCTACTCCAACAATAGTTGAATCCGGTAGTTGATCTCTTATTTAATCAGAAATTCTATACTCATAAACTGGGGTCTTCTCTACTTATTTGAAATATCCTTCTGGTATGGGATAATTTGGATCATAAGATAATTTCTCGTTGAGAGCTTTAATTAGCTATTGATCACCCATTCCTGAAGCGTCAGGATCTTCATACAGAACTGTAGAATTGCCTCTTGCTCTGGTAGCTTATTCAAATTACGCTACAAGTGCTCTTATTTATTCTACTGGAGGTAAATGAGAGAGATCCTTAGGTGCTCTTGAGAAACTGAAGAATGCTAATTACATCATAAATGTAAGATAACCATTATAGTCTAAAGCTTGAAGATCTCCTCTGTTGATTATCTTAGTATTTACTAATCTAAATAATTGCTGAAGTTCAGCTTTATTTATTAAGTTAGGGAATGTGCCATGATCTTTCAATAACTTAGTCATTTCAGCAGCATTAATTGTTTGAGATTTTTCGTGAAATTAGTCAAAGTTATTAATAGGTTTTGAACTAAATCCAGAATTGCTATACTTATAATAGAGATTGCGCCATAGCTTTTGATACTTCTTCATAAACATATTGACAGATTCTCTGTCTCTTTCTTCCTCTTCTTCAAGATCAATCAGCTTTATTTAAGGTATCAACAATTTCTACTCAGCTAATCTTTTGAGCTTATCCCCTTCAGCTAAAACAGATCCCTCTTTATATATAAGGGCTTTTACCTCTTAAGCATTCTTTCCTATTCCTAATTCTAGCTTCCTCTTCTCTAATTATTCCTTTAATTTCCTGTTTTTCCGAGCAGATAACTATTACTTTCTCTCTTCTTCAAGTCTCTTTTACTCTTCTTTTTCCATCTTATTTCTCTGAATTTTTTCGATCTATTAAAGAGCTTTGGCATTTTTAATAGATCTTATTTAACCAGTCCCAGTGTAAGGCAGTACTGCCATACTGTTTCTAACTGATTAATTTTTACTAGCAGTCAGAGAACCCTCTCTATAGTTTTCAGCTGAATCATATCCTAACATTAATCTTCTATCCTCCTCTGGCATTGTTTCATACTCCCCTGAAGCCCTCAAATATCTCATTTTTTCTTCAGCTTCTTTTTACCTACGATCTCTCTCCTATTTCTCCTTTCTTTCTTTTTCTTCTTATTCACGTCTTATTTTATCTTTTTCGTCTCTTTCCTTTCTCTCTCATTCCATTCTCTCATAATTTTCTCTTTCCTCTATTGCTCTAATATAAGATTACATTATAGATTCAGGCTCTCCCCACCATTTCAATAGTGCCATTATACCCTTGTTGAAGTAACCGTAAAGTTCATTGAATCTCTTATTTGCAGAGAGAAGCATATCTCTGAGTTACTCGTTAATGTCTTCATTTCTCAAGTTTTGGATCTTCATAGTTCCCTCTACTATATGTGTCTTCTTTAATCTCCTTGTAACATCCTCATCTTGCTCCCTTAATTGCTTGATCTTCTCCTCCTTTGAAATCTTCTTCCCAGCAATCTTTTTCGTTGGTGGGGCTTGTGGTGGAGCAGGAAGAGCTAACAACTTTTTCTAGCCAGCTTTGCTTGTATCTTTTGATAGCATTAATTATTGATGTTTGAATTAAAGTTCTTCAGCGTTTTTCTCTAGTCCCATAAGCATTGAGAAGCAAATCGTTTCAAACTTGATGATGAATTCTTGCATTTGCTCATCGTTAATAAATCTAGAGCAGATCTAAATAAATGGCACAGCAGCTGCTGATGCATATGAAACTTCATTAAGATACACTTTTGCCAATAGATCTGCAAGGGGTATTGCACTTTGAATATTAAGCTTCGGATGTTTAGCTAAAAAGGAAAAAAAGTCAAAGTCAAATATCTTGTAGAAAAATGTAACTCCCTCAGTTACTTAAATTTACTTTATCAGTGGTTCGATCAATAGACCAACTGGTATTGTTTAATGGGCTTCGTAAAGAGTTGTAAAATTGATATAATAGAGCTCTCTTAAAATTGACTCATTAGGGTTTTCTACCAGTGAGAATATGAGAGTTTTATAAATTGAAGGTGCTGAGCTATTTTTTTCATCTGAAAATTTATCTAGCAACCTAAATAAACTACAAACTGAAACTGTTCTGATGGGGCGATGCTTATCCCTAGCTCCTCTCTTAAGCATTTGTAGCACTGAATTTGCAACTTCCTCTTTTGCATCAATAATTTGAGTAAACGATAACCAAATTTCTGCTAATAACGTAACAGCTGCAATTCTTTCATCATAACTGTGCTTTCCATCATTATCAGCTTGTCTTATACAAGACTCAATCCAAAAATCTAGTATTCCACTTCTTCTAACTTCAACACTGCATTATGATACTAGAAATGGAAAAAGATCATTGATTGCGTTTACATATTCAAGTGGCGAGCTAAAGTATTTTTTCAATTCTATTTTATAAACCTGCTCAACTTAATCATTTACAGAACTAAACTATGAGACAAAAGCGACAAAATCCTCAGCAAGGTCTGGATGTTTTTTTAGAGCATGGAGACTTAATTCTAAACCACCTTCTTTATCTAGGAACCATTGCATAGCCTATGAAAATAATACCTAATTCTAGCCAAAGTCATAACCGATTTTTGTCAATAATTTACTGCACCATTTGCAAATATCTATATTGTGACTGTATAATCCACAACTCATCGTGGCCAACACCTTTTAGAAATTTGTGGAACTTGGAAACTATTCAATCTCTAGCTCAAGTAGATTTGTTAAATGCTTGCTATTAGCATATATATCTTAATACCAGCTGATGAGAGGTTCATATCTACCCTTGACTCCCTTAACTATTGAATGAATAAGGAACTAATTATTATTTGTGAGCAATGCAGCTGCTTATTTCGGTTTCATCTAAAATGCTCTGCAAAGAGTATTTAAAATCAACTCAAGAGTACTCTCAGTATCTATAGGTTCTCTTTCAGAATTCATTGTCAGAATATCAACTCCGTCCTTTACGACTACTTAAAGTATAAGAGATAGATAAGTAAATACCTTTTTTTTAGTTTGGTTTTGAGCCTCGACGAGCGTTACTCTTTTCAGTTGCAGTCTCCAAAGTAGGAATTGGAACATTGACTTCAGCTGATGACTTTATTCCGTCAAAGTTTAAGATCTATTTTCCAGCAATTTTTACAAGGAATCTTTCAACTCTCTAAAAAGCAATAAGTATTTACTCTTGATCTCCAGCTACAATTAAACTCCTAGAATCTGAGTCTATTTCAATTCCAATTTTCTATAATTAATAAAGTAAATTGTTTGTATTACATCAAGCTCTGAGCATAATATATTCCAATTAAAGAGTTTTGCCTATGGAGTTGATTGTGGTTTCAATGATGATATTTTAGTCTGATCAATATTCAAACTTTGATTATTCCTTTTCTATTAGGATTAAAATCTGATCTAATTACCAAAGCATCTCGAAGGACAATTAAATATTTGCCAAGAGCTATTCCATTTTCAAATATAGCTGAGGTTTCTTGATCCAACAAAGTCTTTTTCTTTTCAAAGTTAGTTTTGACTCTTGGACTTGCTCTAAATATTCCGCATTTAAGGAGCTTATTATAAAGCTCCATATCAATCTCTAGAGTTTATTATAGCTACATCTTTAAATAATGAAAAATTATTTTATAATTAAATTGCGTTATTAAAATAGCAGTATTCATTCCAATGGGGTTTTGGGGTTTTGGGGTTTTGGGG